GGGGGGGCTCATTCATCTGGGTTGGTTCACCCTCACCTGGATGGACCAAGTTAGTCCAGAATGATCTTCATCTGCACGATAGTGGACCATGGGAGGAACTGGACCAGCTGACGTCAACACTGTACCAGGTGACATCAACACTGTACCAGGTGACAACAACACTGTACCAGGTGACGTCAACACTGTACCAGCTGATGTCAACACTGTACCAGGTGATAACAACACTGTACCAGGTGACGTCAACACTGTACCAGGTGACAACAACACCAGCATCTGAAGTGGACGTGTTAGCATCAGTGGAACGCTCGTTTCTGCAGTTCAAAGGGAAACTTTATCACTGGTGTCTTGATCTCCACTGGTGTGTGACACTGTGTGTGTGGTTTCTGGTGCAGCTATACTTGTGGGGACACCAAATGAGACTCACACAGATTTGTAACAGTTTAGTTCAGGATAATGAGCCGAGGAATGTAGCGGCTCTACGAGACGCACATCAGTGTGTGTGTGTGTGTGTGTGTGTGTGTGAGCAGCTGGAGACTTTGAAGTTATTGTGTTTTCGCAGAGCGAGAGGCCGTAATGACACCTGGTGTGTTTTTCTAAGAATACCAGAGGTGACTGAGTGCCGCTTCTTCTCCCACGGCGTTTGACAAAGATCTGGAACAACATCAAAACTCTGCCGTGGAGGCATTTGTTTAAAGAGGAGCTCTTCGCCCAAAGCAACCGCAGTGTTTTGGTGGGGGGTGGGGGGGGGGTATAACCATGTCACACAAAACACAATAGCCCCTGGTCTGTGCACTCCTCAGGTTCACAGCTCCAACAGTCAGGGATCAGTTCCAGGTTGGACGGCGTCCCTCGCTGCTGCACACGGTCAGGAGATAAAAGAAGAACGCAGCAGAGGATGCTGGGAAACAGAGTGACTTCAAAGCTGCACAAGAATGTCTTTAAACGCGGTTCTCCAAAGACCACATCAAACACAAATGGGGGGGGTGCGGGAGGGGGGGGGGCAAATATGAAGGAACAATTACAGATGACATGTGCACACACACACAGGCATGTTCACAACATCCAAGCACCGCAGCCCGGTCCACCGTCAGGACTAGAAAGGAAAGTGTGTGTCAGCTCCATTAAAGAGTTTAGTGTGTGTGTGTGTGTGTGTGTGTGTGTGTGTGTGTGTGTGTGCCCAGAGAGCACTTCAGCTGAGCTGCTGCCAGGAGACGATCAGAGGCCCTGCAGCCCACACACACGCTCACGCATACTCACCCTGCCTGATCACAACTCCATCATCTGAGGCACACACACACACACACACACACACACACACACAGGGTAGATATTGATTGTGTTAAACACAGCATTTAAGGCCCAACACTGTTCCTGGGGCCTAGAAAACACCCACACATGTTCTCTGCCCCACGATGCACAAAGACAGGCACATACACACACACACACACACGGCAGAGCAGTAACAAATACAAACACACTGAAACACACACCCTTTAACCCCTGAGGTACCAGACCTTCA